AGAGATGTCAGGGCCGTGTCAGACGTGACAGGGTGGTGACAGGGCGGTGACAGGGCAGTGACAGGGCGGTGTCAGAGGTGACAGGGTGGTGACAGGGCGGTGCCAGGGCAGTGACAGGGTGGTGTCAGAGGTGTCAGAGGTGACAGGGTGCTGTCCCCCAGGATGTCGGAGGAGCAGATCGCGGCTGTGTGCCGCTCCGTGCTGCGGGCGCTGGCCGTGCTCCATGCCCAGGGCGTCATCCACCGCGACATCAAGAGCGACTCCATCCTCCTCACGCATGACGGGCGGGTAGGAACACCCAGAAATCCCCCCGAAACCTCCCCCCGATCCTTTGGGACCCCTCCCCAACCAGCCCCGGCCTCCTTGGCAGGTGAAACTCTCAGATTTCGGCTTCTGCGCCCAAGTGAACAAGGAGGTGCCGCGCCGCAAATCCCTGGTGGGGACTCCCTACTGGATGGCCCCCGAGCTCATCTCCCGCCTGCCCTACGGCCCAGAGGTGGGTCTGGGGGCTTGGGAGAGGTTAGGGGATCCTGGGGTGCCCTAGGGGGTGTTTCAGGTGGGTTTCGGGGGGTTTGGGGTGGGTTTAGAGGGGTTGGGATGGGTGTGTGGCTCCCCAAGATCATCTCCTGCCTTCCTTACCACCCTGAGGTGTCTTGTGGGGAGGTTGGGATGGGTCTGAGGCTTCCCAGGGTGGGCTCAGATTTGGGATTAGGGTTGCCCAGGGTGGGTTTGGAATGGGATTAGGGTTGCACAGGGTGGGTTTGGAATGGGGTTAGGGTTGCCCAGGGTGGGTTTGGAATGGGGTTAGGGTTGCCCAGGGTGGGTTTGGTTTTGGGATTAGGGTTGCCCAGGGTGGGTTTGGAATGGGATTAGGGTTGCCCAGGGTGGGTTTGGAATGGGGTTAGGGTTGCCCAGGGTGGGTTTGGGGGTACCCAGCATAGGTATGAGGGGCTCCAAGCGGCCTCCCCTCCAGACCCCCCCCCATTCTGGGGCACGGAGGGGGTTGAGGGGCTCTCCCCTAACCCCCTCCTCACTTTTGGGGTGATCCTCCCCCACCAGGTGGACATCTGGTCGCTGGGGGTGATGGTCATCGAGATGGTGGATGGGGAACCCCCCTATTTCAACGAGCCCCCCCTCAAAGCCATGAAGCTGATCCGGGACAACCTCCCCCCCCGGCTCAAGAACGGCCACAAGGTAACTCGAGGGGAGTCCCCCCCTTTTCCAGAGAGTCCCGGGGGGTGTCTGACACCCCTGATCTGTTCCCCTCAGGTGTCCCCGTCCCTGAAGGGGTTCCTGGAGCGGATGCTGGTGCGGGACCCGGCACAGCGGGCCAGCGCCCCGGAGCTGCTCCGTCACCCCTTCCTGGGCGTGGCGGGCCCCCCGCCTGCATCGTGCCCCTCATGCGGCAGCACCGGCTGCGGTGAGACTCCTCCCCACCCTGGGGGGACCCCCTGGCCCCCTGCCGCTCCGCCTGCTCCTCCTCCTCGGTGACACCCCCAAACAGGAGCAGGACTGGGATGTTCCTGGGGCCCCCCCCAAGCTGTACTACTGAGCTGGGGACCACACAGCAGAGATTTCGGGGGGAAGGGCAGCTGTCATCCCAGAGATTTGGGGATGCAGGGGCTCATCCTGGTCCCTCCCGCCTTTGGGACCCATTTTGGGGCATTTCCCCCTTTTTTTTTTGTTTTTAGTCCCCTCTTTTCTGCCCCCTTTGGGCACGGGGGTGTGGCCCCCCTACATCTCTGTGAGAGGGGGGTCCCTAAAACTACAGTCCCCCCTCTCCCCCCACCACACCACACTACTGATTCGGGGTGTGCCCCCCTCCCCCGGGCTCTCCTCGCCTGTTTTTGTTGATTTTGGGGGTTTTTTTGTTGTTGTTGGTTCCTCCTCCCCGGAACTCCCCCCCGCTCCCACGGTTTTGTTTTTTAACAAAGTGATATTTATATGGACAGGTTTTGTACCGCACGGGACGGGGGGGCTCCGGGGGGACACGGGGCCCCCCCAAATTACACGTGTCCTTTTGGACCCCCTGTGTGCTGTGTGCTTCTTTTGGGGGGGGCAGGGGGGGCACATGGCGGGGGTCCCCATGGGGCGGGGGAGCACGGAG